AATTTAAGGCTCTTTAATAAATGTTGAATTCTATATAACAACTATCCAAAAGGAACATTATGTTTGACAGGCTTCAAGGACGAAATCAACACTGAAGGTGAATATTAAATATCTACTTTAGATAATACTATACTGCATTTTGTTTCTCAATAGAATGGTACCACTATTTTATTGGCTCATTCTATGTTCCCTAGTACAGTCTACAAAACCAGTATGCAAAATTTCAAATCAATTCCATTGAAAAAATGTATATTGTACCTTTTTATTATATGAGGAATGCTAATAAATAGAAAAGAAAATAATAAGAACTAATGAAATATCAGAGATCGATAGCCAACACTGTTACATAAAGCACCTATTTCTATTTATAGTTCCATCCAAATGTATCACTACTACAAATAATATTCGTTATTAATTCTACTCAATGTATACTGTATTATTGCTCATCTTTCAAGATCATCACAATATTTTAGTACTGTATTCGCTCTTCTAAATATATCACCTTTGCAATCACCATAAATAATTACCTAAAGCCTACTGTTTTTTCTTTCATTTTCACGCGCATAAAGAGTACAATGTTATAGTAACCGCACACACAAACACACATAAAATACAGCAATGTATGCTGTAACAGTTTATGTACAATATATCAACATGACATGGAAAAATTATATGGCATAATATTATTATTATTAATCCATTTCCAATTACCATACAATCTTGGGGTCATGTGACTATGAGTTATTGATTTTACAGTTCAATTTGATGACCTCAACATAAATTGAATTCAACACGGATTCCTTAGTGGGATAATCAATTTGAGTAATAATCATGATAAGTAATTACAAATTTCAGTACTTAATACACACTTTAATCTGAAGGGTTATTAAATTATTTATTATAATTGTAATCATCATTATTTTAAATTATCAATTTAATTTTTACAACATATATATTCAACTTTCTTGTACATGTCACCATCGTTCTTGTTATTATCCTCATCACTAAATTTCACATGAAAAATCCCGACGCTAATCCTCATGTGGTTTTGATAATTTCTCTCATTCGATGTTACTTCAAATGGGTCGTTGCTAAGTGTCATTTTGACTACAGTGTGTTCACACACACACCATGTAACTGAAGAAAATCCTTGATCCAGATCAAGGAGATGACATCATATTACCCGAAAAGAGAGATAGATGTGGGGGTCACTTTACCTTACATGATGAGTTGCAAACAAATATATAAAAACCAATATATCAGTGATAAAATAAAGAGCAAACAACATCAGTGATAAAAAAAAAATTAAAATGTATTGTACACAACATGCACGAAAAACAAGGCAGTTGAGTTATGGGAGATTATAACCCCTGACCTCAATGGAAATGCATATGTCTAATTGGTTAATGATAGAAAAGAAGTCCAATTGCTACCAAAAGCGCTCGCTAATGTATCCACTTCCCTGGGAACGGTTAGAGAAACCAATCAGGGGTTCTCAAATGTGTGCAAACAGTTCGGGCTGACGGTTAGCTCACCTATCCCATGTGCACAAAAAAAAAAACTAGGATATTGACTCCCACTGGATGACGACAAATTCAATGCATGTATGTGTGCAGTCAAAGGCTTAGCCAGCGAGCCATCCGGCCATCTTTTGGACGGTCAACAATTATTTAGAATGGCCACTTTTATTGTGACGACTTGGACGACCAACTCAGATCAGCCTAGCTTGTTGGGCCTGGTTTACTTTTACAAATTCTTTATATTCTTCGAATCTATCAAATGTTGCATTAAACTAAAGCATATTTTGGACGGCCTATTTCGTTTTTCTGGCTAAACCCCTGCGTACAGTACAAATCTATGGTAATACAGTAAGTATTCTTGACCTTTTGCCTAATTACATAAATTAATCTTTAAAAAAAACATTATTACATAACAATACAACAATCACCATTAGTATTCAGTTTCTGATTGACAGTCAAATAATTATTGAGAAAAGCATTAAATTGTTGATAGTATAAAATTCCTTCACATTATATTTCTCAGATTTTACAGAACATTTTCTAATTATTAAAGTTAAATACAATTTACTGACTGCTGCTCAGAAATACTGTAATTTATTTTATAACTGAATGTGGGTTGGTCCATTCTAGCTGGCAATGATTTATTGAACAGGTAATCTGAAAAAAATATTTTTCATCACTTGTCATGGAAAAAAGTATTATGAATTTTCAGTAATACACAGCAAGCAACTGTAGCACATTCACATACATTTGACCTTAACAAACATTTTCTAAATGCCAAAATTAGCATCTTGTAAACACCTGTTAACTCGCATATTTATTATAATTTAAAAAACTTAAATTTTCATGTTATATCGAAAAATTCTGATCTGGTACAGTGTAAGTAAAACTGCCACCACTGGTAATATAAAATAAAGTATTAATAATATGCCTGCCCAGCCCTCATCAAATACATAGGGTCAAATCAAATACAAAATCTGTCAGAGGTTGACATGAACGCTTATACAAATAGATGTCATAAGCGTTCCAAGCATAACCCTTCAAAATAAAGTTCCCGTTCCAGCAGTATTAAAAAAAAGTGTCTGTTACTGGGTTCGAACCTGCATCCCCTCGCTATCAGGGCGAGTGTCAAAACCAAAGATCTAGACACTTATGCTCCACACATAGTGGAGGCACATTTAAGAACTACCTTGTGTGTAAAATAATATTCAGATTAGGTATGTGATACAGCACTGTAAACACAGTAACAAATAACAACAGTTAAAATGACTAGGGCCAGAACAAATGGGTCTAAAACAACCCATGGACAAAACTGCTCATAGAAAAACAGCAGGTAAATAAAAGGAACCAAAAACCTCCCCACTCACCACAACCTAAATATAGGGCTTAGGCTAGTTGGGGAGGGGGAGTTTGTTAAGGGGTAAGTTTGTAGGGGAGAGGTTTGTTAAGGAGAAAAATGGTTATGGAGCAGGTTTGTAGGGGAAAACTGTGTACAGTCGAAGGGAAAGTTTATCAAGAGGAAAGGGGGAGACTTTGCTAGGGGAGAGCTGAAGTGCTACCCTTGCCCTACCCACATAGACCTAGCCCATGGAGCCTAGCTAGCTGTTATTAGGCTAGCCTATAGCCTATAGGCTTGAATTACAGTCAAACCGTACCCACAAACCGTACCCAAATTTTGGTCAACCCGTACCCAGAATTTTAGTCAACCCGTACCCATCTTTGATCAAACCGTACCCATCGTTGGTCAAACCGTATCCAAGTTTGATGAACAATATTATTTACTATATAGAACATTACGCAAATTATATTGTCTATTTAGATATTAACCATATCATGTATTATGAACGCCTAACTTACCGATTAGAAGATGTATTCTAATATCTTTGATAGGATGCATTCAATCAAGAAATTTATGATCACCGAAGAAGCCAAACACGCAAGTTGGGGGCGCTACATATTATGGCTCCATTCATGGTGTCGTTATTTGTTTTCACGTATGATTAAGAAGTTATAAATTTTAGATTATTATTGTTAGGCCTACGTATAGTTAAGAAGTTATAATTTTAGATTATTATTGTTGGGCCTACATATAGTTAAGAAGTTATAATTTTGATTATTATTGTTAGGCCTACGTATAGTTAAGAAGTTATAATTTTAGATTATTATTGTTAGGCCTATGTAGAGTTAAAAAGTTATAATTTTAAATTATTATTGTTAAGTCTATGTATATGTATGGAAAATGATGTAATGTATCAATTATAAATATATATCGAAATATCCGTTT